TGACATTCTTAGCTAGCATTTCAGCGGGGAGACCCGCGCTGACATTTGGCTATGTGCCGACCAAGAAAGGTACGTTTCAGATGACAACGGCAAGTCGCCTATCTCCAAGGGTACACTTGGCCTTACAATATCTCATCAGAAACGTCTTCCGCATCGAGAATGTAGTTTCGGCCAGATTAGCCGAGAGTATTCATCAGCTACCCCCGGTTACTTATGTTGACAGTTGCACATTGGTGCATTACGATAACGACGTGAATCCAGGATTCCATTACTGTGAAGCAGAAGGTACTGCTCTGAGTATGCATGATACAACTGGATCAGCACATTCACGAATCATCCAATGCCTGAAGTCCACCAAACCTCAGGCAGGCTTCGATCAGGACATGTCCAAGTTCGAGGACTTGGCTGATGCGCCGACACCTGAGGGAGCCGCTAGAGAGGCTTCAGAAGCCGAACCAGAACATGATGACGGACGGCTGTCTACGATCTACGAGGAATCAGAAGCTGATCTTGAGGCACATGTCATGGAGGTATGGCGCGCAGAGTTGCGAGAGGAAAAGGAATTGTTGGAGGCAGCTCCACTAGAAGACCTTTTTACCGTACCCGCACAGATGGTTCCTGATCAGAGTGTGTTGATCACTGTAGCTGATGAACAGCGGGGACACCTGCCGAAGTGGGGGCGTACTCATGATCCCGATACCGAGGAGACGTACTGCGTTCCCCTGTGCACCATGGTCGAAGACGACAGCTACGGACTCGACTCTGACGAAGACGGCCCATGCGTTGAACTCTGCTTTACGACAGAACTGTCAAAGGTAGTCTTGTCCGAGCAGCAACACATGCTGTTGGACGCCGACCGGGTGACCACCATGCGAGTATATGTTACTGCCGCTGCAAAGCGAGCTGTGGTCTTCAAGGAAGACGACCTCCTCGCTAAAGCTGACACTCAGGCGAATCCCGAGAACATATCGAAGGCCCTTCTCATTGATCTCAAGACATGGTTCGACAATATATGCTCCAAGATGCAGGAGATCGCCAACGCGTCGAACATCATGACTTCCAGATATGTATACAAATTGAAATTCGTTAAAAACGACAAGGGTGAGATGGAACGCGCCATCCGACTTCGTTTGGTACTTCGAGGCTTCATGGACGTAGAAGCTTTCGATGCAGAAACATTTTCGGAAACAGCCAGAAGGTCAAGCCAGACGTTACTTGCCAGCGCGGCAGCGTGCAAGAAACAGTGGACCATTGCTTCCCTGGACATCAGCATGGCCTCCCAAAAGGGGTTGACCTATCGAGAACTCGCTGAGGCAACTGGTGAGGAGGAACGTGTGTTGTGTTTTACGTTGCCGCCTGGATCGGCAACTGTGCTCCGTGCTCTTCCAGGGTTTGAGAACTACGACGAGTCGAAGCACTGTTTGCAGTGCTTGAAACCGGGCACAGGCACTAAGGACGCCCCACGGGCTTTCTCACTTAAGCCCAGGAGAACCACCAGAGGATTTCGCCTCCGACCTACGTCCTACGACAAGAAGTTCGAGACAAGCAGTAGCCTGCTCGCGGCCAAACACATGTTGATGACATTAACATGGCCGGTACTGAGGACACTACTGACAAGTATGTCAAATGCGTGGAGGATACCTCTGGTAAATTTGAACTCAACAAGCACACATATACGAATTGTGCTGCGAGGTACACCAAGGATGAGGACGGCAATGTCACTTTGGATCAAGATGAATACATTAAACAGCTCCGTGCTATACAACATCCTGAATTGACCGGCGCTGACGCTGACGCTCAAGCGACCAAGATGGTGGCAGATGTGTTCGTCAGGCTCAGAGGTGCGCTGGCATGCGCATTGACCGCCCAGATCTAGTTGATGGTCTATGTTGTATCTCTACAGCGTGTCCAAGAACCGACCAATATTCAAGTGCGACGACTGAACGCGATCACTAGAAAGCTACAGGCTTGCCCGAAGAAGATCATCTACCAGGCGATGAACCCCGCGGGTGAGGTCGACCTACATAGCGACTCAGGCTACCGACGCCTGAGTGGAGACGCCGACGACGACGTCAAAGGCTATGGCATTCGCGGGGCAAACCTGCTACGACGTGGAAACGCGTCATCTGGCAAGCATGTCTTTCACTTGATTGATGCGTGCTGCAAGTCTCACCGCTTGCAAGTCCGCTCAAGCTCCTCAGCAGAGACACTTGCAGCAGCCCGTAATCTGGAGGACAGTTATCCCACGATTGTGACTCTGCGCGAGCTCCATGCGGGGCCACTCACGCCCACTCAGTTGAAAGACGTATTTGAGTTGGGTGGCCCGAGCATCAAGGTCACCTTGACCATCGATGCTGAATCTGTCTTTTAAGTCCTTGTCAAGCAAAGACTTGAAGAAGCCGACTGAGTGTACCCTTTTAGGGCACATAAGTTGGATACGACAGATGATGGAGTGCGGAATCGTGCATAGCATTCAGTGGTGTGATACCCGCGATATGACTGCGGATGGACACAGAAAAGGGAGCATTGACAGAGAAATGCCCCCACAAGTCATGGGAGGTATACAGACCTTCAAACATGACCTGAAGAGACATGCGCCATTTCGGGCCGGCCAAACATCAAGTTCTGACGCCGCCTGATGAGTATGTCCTACATTCGCGAGGCAACTCGCTGACGGGTCCAACTCCTTCAGGCCCGTCTCCTTTCCTGTCTTTGTATAGGTTAGCTGCTGAACTGTTCTTGGTAGATGGGTGGCGGACGCACGCTTCGTCTCCCTCGCTCCCCGACTCGAAAGCGAGCTGGGGGACATAAGGAGCGGAAGCGAGCGTGCGCCCGCGGCCGTCTTGGTTCAAGCGGCCGGCCGCCCAGATTTGACTGTGCCTCACCGCGAGGCACGCTATCGCTATTGATACTAAAAGGCATCCCCTTTTACTTGACATGGCATCCCCTCTTGCATTGGGACTATCGTTACTACGATACAACCGAGCTGGAGCTTGGCTTCGCCTGAGGCGAAGCTGTTGGCGGGGCCTCCCAGCCCCCTTCAAACTCCCCTGGGACCGTCTGGGGATCGTTTTGGTGCCTTCTTGGCCAGTTTTGGAGCCCTCCGCTCCCCTGTGACGCGTTCGGTCTGGGGTCGCGCTGGGCGAGGGGGGGGGGGTGTCGAATTGCCGGTTTGGGGTCCCTGGGGGGGGGATTATGGGGGGGGTAGTCTCACACGCCTAGAGACCCACAAGGGGTCGGCGGATTTGCATTTCGGTTGGCCTCAACGTCGTTCGAAAATGCACACCCTGATGGGTTTGCTTGGCACTGGGCGCTCGACGCTTCCCAGGCATGGGTTTTGTTGTTCTACCGCTATGGTTTGATAGCGTGGCAGTGCGTTTTTTCCCCAAGTCAATTGCACCCCATTGCGTCGCACATGTACGTTTTCAACCATTAGTACCCCAAATTGGGTCGCGTCCGCTTTATTTTGTTTCCCAAATTCGAAACATCGGGCCGCCATATTCGAGTGAACCAATTGAAATGGTAGTCGTCCCACCTCTTTACGATCGTATCATGCTCCTCCTTGTGCTCCTTTCCTTCCTCAGCCTCTTCCTTTGTCGCCGTCTTTCCTCTTCTTGTTCCTACCGTCCCTCCTTTCACGCCTCTTCCAGTCCCTTGCTCAGGGTAGGAACAGCTGCCCATTTGCGATCGGGACAAACAATGGCCCTGGCTCTTGAAGGCGTTTCGCGCGCGCGCGTGTGTTGCCGCGTCCACCGCCTCCTGCGACAAAGACTCCGTGATCACCTCAGGGTTCTATTTCTTTGCCTGGAACATATTCCAATCCTAAGGTAGGCATCGCCTTATCTCGACGCCGACCTTAAATATTCCCTCAGTTTCCGAGGGCGTATTCTCTGATATTGCCACCGCTTTTCTGATTGTTAATCTTAGGGATAGGGATCAGTTCGAAAATGGTTATTCAAGCCGCTGCCCCGTCCGGCCACCTTGCCCCCCCACCCTCTCTCAAGCCGTCCTGGTTCGAGGCGCCATGCTCCGATACGTGCGCTCGGCCGCGGCCAGGGCGTGGCCACGGCGATGCACGCGCCCATGCGCACGCTCCTAGACCCTGCGGCACCTCTGGTCCAGCATCGTCTAACCGATCCCCATACCTTATGGACCATGGCATTTCTGCCCCGCCCGCCAAACCCCCCAACGCGGGGATAGGCCCCGCGAAACCCGAAGGAGTGGGCATGTATGATCCAAGGGGTCGAGGGTTCATGGCCCCACCCCCTTCAGGATGGGATGGGTCCCAGGGCCGCACGGCCGTCCCCCCCAGATGTGATGGGGGGGCGGACGACGACGACGACGACGACGACGACGACGACGACGACGACGACGACGACGACGACGACGACGACGACGACGACGACGACGGCGGCGGCGGCGGCGGCGGCGGCGGCGGCGGCGACGGCGGCGGCGGCGGCGGCGGCGGCGGCGGCGACGACGACGACGACGACGCAACACCACCCCACACCCACAGGGGGAGGGGGGAGGCACCAGCACCACCCTCCACCCCACACCACATGCCCACAGGAGGGGAGGTTTCCACCACGCCACGTCCACAGGGGGGGGGGGCCCATCGCGCTGGGGGGAGGGGTGGGGCTGGGCCGAAGGCACCAGCATGATGGGGACGGGCCCAGCTCCCTGGATCATTATATCCCCATGCCAGTGGGGGTAGGGCTCGGCTAGGCGATGCTCACCAGGTGCACTCATGGGACGTGAGTGCAGGCCTTGCCCGCAGCTGCTGCGCGACGAGCGGCGCCCTCGGCGCCTCCCAGCAGAGCCTGCAGGCGCCCCTGCGCGCCGCAGGCCCGGCGGGCCGGCCGGGCGGGCGCGGCTGCGCGCGCGCGGCGCGCCTCGTCGGCGGCAGCTGCGCGCTGGCTGCCGCGTGCGCATCGCGGCGCCGCTCCGTGGGGCCGCCCAGCGCGCGCGGCGCGCGCGCAACGGTCGCGCGAGGCTCGGCGGGCGAGGCCGCGGCCCCGCTGCCCTCGCCGCAGCGCGCCACGGCAGCGGCGTGGCGCGGCGAGGCGGCGGCGCTGGACGTCGTGGGCGAAGAAAAGACAACTTTATTCAGTATCGTCTAACCGATTCCCATCCCCACTGGGCCAGCATCTCCCCCCCCCCAGTCGGGGATAGGCCACGCGAAACCAGAAGGTAACAGCATATATCGTCATCTAGGGGGCAAATCGGCCAGTGGGGCCAAGGCCAACGCCAGTGGGAACAGTGATCGGTTAAACGATGCTCACAACCGCTACCGCTGGGCTGAGGGAGTCGCCCCTGGCGCCCCCCCAAGGCCGACCCTGCGCGCGGCACTCGCAATCGCTCGCGGCACTCGAAATCGGGCGCCGCAGGCCATAACCGCTGGGGGGTCGGGGTCGTCCTTTGGGGGGCACCAGGGGCGGTTCCCTCAGCCCAGCGTTTGTGTGCGCTTCCCTCTTCGCTCCTGAGGACGCGCTGCTGGACCAGGCGGAGCTGGCCCCAGAGGCCCGGATGGACGTCATGCCAAAGTTCCGCTCCAGCCGCGACTGGCTGTGGTCGCAGTGGAACAGGAGCTCATGGGGAGGAAGCGGTGCCGATGCCGCTGCTCGTCCTAAGGAGCTCTCGTCGCCACCTCGCCTCGAAGTTCTGGTCAGAACACGCCCTGGGAGAGGTCCAGGGAGTAGCCGTATCGGATTGTCTTCGTCATTCCAGAAGTTCCAGGCCTCGGGGCGAGATCTTCTCCACGCCGACGTCGCCGATGTATCGCCGATGAATCGGCGACGCATCGGCGATGCGGCGTGATCCTCTGACCTCATCTACCCATTTGGGAGGCCTCTACAGGAGTGGGTCCTTGGTGAACTCGACGTGGCAGAGCATGCTGGCCGTCGCGGCTGCCACGTGGCTGCTGCTGGTGGCGGACACGGAGTTTCCCCAGGTGCACTTCGCGGTGCGCGGGGCTTCTGAGCTGTGGGGCTATCAGGCGTCCGTGACGACGTTGATGCTGTCGTTCTTCTTGAACCAGGCCTACACGTACTGGAGGATTGGAGCCGGCTGGGGGGCTGAGGTGGCCCAGCATTGGTTCTGGCCAGAAGAAATGGGGGAGCAAGGGGCCCATATGGACGCGGCTTTAACAATATGTCAGTTTCGGTCCCAGGGGGTGTTTGGGGACCGATTTTGCGCGAATTTGCCTTCATCGCCCACTCGATTGATTCTCTTTGGGCTAATCCGGCCCAGACACCCCAGCCGCCTATACGTACTGCAGGAATCGTAGAAGAAAAAACGCATGAACATAATGTCTTGGAGCTCCGCACGGATTTCTTGGATCGGCGCTGGGCCCCCCTGGCGGCGCCTCTGGCGCCGCCCCTGACGCGCTCCACGCGCCAGGGAGCGGGGTCAGTGCAGAAGAACTCCGCGCGGACCTCCCAACATTCTTCACGCTTCGCGCATCCCCACCAGCTTTGGCTCTGTACGCTCGTTGGCCGGCGTTCTCCTGCATGGACTTCGCTTTCGACAAGTGGTACAGGTTTTACTGCCGTTTGCAGTCTTGGCGGTGATGAGGTTGCCCCTCTTCACTCTTGCGCCGACACGATGTTTTGGCATTTGTGCCGCCTACTTCACGGATGTCGTCTGGGTGTGCCTGTCGGTCTAGTTCGTCTCTGACGGTGCTGGTTGCCAGACTCACACCGAGCGATCGACTTCTGCGTGTTTCTGGTCGCGCCGCCGCGCCATTTTGGCTGCGCTTACTTGCTGGTTGCCACCAGGATTTCCAACGCCACCGGATTTTGGAGTATCGGTTCTGGCTTTCTGAGTGGCTGCCCGCTCGCTCGCTTCGCTTGCCTTTCTACTCCTGCTGCCTAGTCGCGGCCCGACTAGTGTTCGGACAGCTTTCGGACGGCCTCGCGAGCCTGTTGACCAAAAGTATCCCCACCAGCCCATTCAGAAGCCCTGCCCGTGAGAGCTGACGGGGAAAGGGACGAAGAGACACATTCGGGGAAACAATACGAGCAACCAGGGTGAACCGAGAGATCTTTGGGAGCAAGGGGGTGGCCGTGGAAGGCTTCTTCGGGCCATCCACTGGGGGCCGCGTAGGGGCGAGGGGAGGAGGAGGAGGAGGAGGAGGAGGAGGAGGAGGAGGAGGAGAAGGAGGAGGAGGAGGAGGAGGAGGAGGAGGAGGAGGAGGAGGAGGAGGATGAGGACTTTCCAAGGGCTTTCCCGATCAGACGGTGTCTGGATTGGTGGGGCTCTCAGGAGGACTTCATTTGAGTGGCCTCCCTTGAAACACGCGAGACATAACCCAACTCCCCATTTTCGAAGGAGGTGAGCAAACTTCCGAGAGGCCTCTGAGGTGTCCCCTGCCCTCCAAAGCCCGACACCCGCACCTTATGCAGATCCAGTACGGCTCGTGGAAGGCGAGCTCGTGGGATGCATGGCCGCTCCTGGTCCCCAGGGCGAGCTGGGTGGGGCGCGGCTGGTTGGAAGGCGGGCCTGGGCACTCTCGGGAAATCCATTCACTCATGACTTGTTTACATGCTAATTTACTGACCGACGTGCGACAATCTAAACAACACCACCGCGCCTGCATGTTACAGAGAGTGTGAGACGACTTCAGCTGGGCGGCCTGGAGGGCGTCGGGACGAGAACGTTTCTCGATTCTCCGAACAGTCCTGGCCGAGGGCTCTCTGTTTTCATGCTCAAACGCGTTTAAAGTAGCACGAATTATCCTGCCACGAACTAAAGCGGAGACGGCGACAGCCCACTTATAGCACGAAAGGCGAGCAGGTGAAATCTGGTGTTGCTCAGCTCCTTTTCTCGCAAGCTCATCTGCCGCTTCATTACCACACCAGGCATAGAATGGTACTCCTTTTCTCATGCTCTCTTGTAGGCTGAGGTGACTGTTCATCCAGAAGACTTCCACCCTGCTGTCTCCTCTGTCATTCAAGGCTGCTCCTATTTCTGTCCACAGATCTCCCATCGAGCTCCAACTGGCTGGGCGGGTGTGGCGACCTTTCATCCATCCCTTATACAAGACTTCTGAATCCGTCCAATAGTGCAACTGACCTCTTGTGTTCAACATCGCAGAAACGAATGCCGAGAACTCGGCACGATTATTTGTTTGTCTGTGACCAGCGAGCGGGGCGAATGCACCTCCTCTGACACTCGGGAGGTCGGGGGAAGAGACATCCAAGGCCACCCATCCCCAGCCGCACCTGCGGTAGCGGGCGTCGTCCGACTCGTCGCCGCCGCTGCCGTCTCCGCAGGTGATGAGGGGCCGGCCCCAGGGGGCCTCGATGGGGGCCCTGTCCAGCTCGCCGAACCTCTCCTCCGTGTAGGGCGTCTCGCACGGCGGCGGCGTCGTCCACGAGGTTGGTGGCAAGCCCCGCAGCCAGAAGCACGGAGTGTGCTCCGCACCCGCCAGCGCCATGGTGACCAGGTGCTCTGACTTCTCAAAGGCAGGGTGGTTCACCCTGTCCGAGCACTGTCCCCATATGCGGTGGAGGTCGTCAGCTCTAACACCGCAGCTGCAGTTGCCCGTGCCAGCGAGGTCGCCGTAGAGGTCGAACCTGCGTGCAGGCGTCCAGGTGCCCGCCGTCATGGCGGTGAGCAGGGCGTTGGCCTCGGGGAGCCTGTCCTGCTTCCTCAGCCTGGCCAGGTGCCGCCGCGCGTCGCTGGTGTCGACTCCGTCCTCCATGCCCTTGCCGTTGTGGTGTGCTGCCGCCTTCTGCCACAAGGCCTTCTCGATGTCCTCGACGATGGCATCGATGATGGTGGAGGGGTCTTTTTCAGCTGCGTCCTCCGCCATTTCCCAATCGTCACCACGAGGGTCTCTCCAGCGTGTGGCCAGCTTGGGGTCCCAGTTGGCCTCCCACAAGGTCAGGATCAGGGAACCAATGACTCCACGCCTCTGTCGCCAACGATGCTGCTTTGGGGCAATCCTGAGTCTGGCATATATCTTGCCCCAGGCTTTGGCGATCATCTTCCTCAGGTCAGGGCGGTGCGCGTAGAGGTCGAACCACGCGCGCAACTGTGCCCGAGGGAACTCGAGGGCGGGGTCCTTGCCGACCAAGCTGAGGAATGACGTGGTGCATCGTCCTGGTCTGGCTCTAGCAATCCCTGACATGTAGCGTCGGCGCGCCTGTGTAATTGCTGAAGGGGGTTCACCATGTGCCTTTGCCCCGTACAAGAGCGCTGGCATTGCACCTTGGTTAAGCATATGAAATCTCTTTTCTCGCCGCAGTTTCCGCAACTTTCTGCCCAATGTCACCATACGTGAAAATGCTTTCTTCCGTCTTGTCGTGTGGGTAGCCCTGCGGGTAACTCCTTTTGAAGATCTATCGATGCCAAGATCTCGTGCTTCTCCAGCTGGGGTAATATCCACTCCGACTTTCTTCAACTTTGATGTGATCCGCTTTGTCATCTTCCAATCAGAACTGAAAATAACACTCTTGTCTGCGAGCTCCAGGCCTTCTCGCTTCAGGCTGTGGGCTAGCTTCATCGTCGTCGTAACTATGATGCCTTCGACCGCCGCGGGGCTGCCGTAGGCCGAGGTGCTGATGTCATCGAACCAGGCCCTTGGCATCGCTCTAGGCTCTGCCCTCGTGACGGTCTCCAGCACCCTGTACACCACTGCTCGCGCCAGGTTGTTAGCGTGGCGCGAGCCCGCCAGGAGGGACACGTCCGCCTGGCACGCGAGCCCGTAGGCTCCTTGTTGTCTCAAAATTCGTGGGACACAATGTATCTGCAGTTCGAGCGCCAGGATCCTCTTGGGGAAGTTGAGGTTCACGCACGCTGAAGCCACAGACTCAGGAACGAGAGAATCGTAAAATCTGGCAATGTCAGCGAGGCTCACTGCCGAGGACATGGCAAGAGCGTGAGCTGCCTCATCCTGGAGTGCCCTAGCCAGGGCCTCCCGCAAGCAGGATGACCCTTTCAGGGCTGAGTCCCAGTGCCGCGATGCCGAGGTGACCCATTCCTCCACCTGCGGGCGCGTCAGCATCTGCCAGCAGCGGATGAGCCACGCGATGAGGGCCAAGGCCCTGTCTCCCGACTTCTTGGGCTCGAGCATAATGATGGCCTGGAGCAGCTGGTACGGCCAGCACTGCAAGGCCTCCACAGAATTTATCAGATCCACGAACGCCTGTCGTGCAGGCGTGGGCAGGCGGCGCACATCAGAGGCCACCAGCCGATCAACGCCCCTGCCCCTGTCGGGCTGGAGTCGGAGGGCCTGGTCAAAGTGCTGAAGGGACCAGCAGGGGCAGGGCTCGGCCCGTGCCTGGTCGCGAATTCGAGCCAAAACGGCTACGGTGTCAGTTCTGTTAACTGTTTCCGCAGCCCAAAGATCTTCGAACACCTTGGTTTTAGCGTCTACTATTTCAAGGGGCGAAGTGGCCTTACACCTACCTAGCACAAACTCGTCTTCAAATCTGGGAGAGGGTTTCGTGAGACGGTGCAACTTACCTACTGGGGCTCTCACAGGGTCCGCCAGCCAATCGGCCCATTCGCGCAGTTCCTTTTCAAGCTCGTGCCTGTGGGCGCGGGAGGACTCGTCGGACGCCTGGAGGGCCATGCCCAGGAGCGTCTGCTGACCAACACTGCTGATGTCCGACAATCGCTGCTGCCACAAGTGACGATGGAACTGCGCATTCACCGAAGGCCTCGATCCTGCCGAGGGGACCCCCTCCTGGGACAGACGCCTGGCTATGTTACAAAGCTCGGCCTGCTGCTGCTCCCCTTTCTTTCTCCCAACGAGAGTGCAGTACAAGTTAAGTGCGTTGGCTACACGCGACCACCAGCCAGCCTCGAAACTGTGGTAGCGTGGGCGTCTAAGGCCACGCTCTCTAACTACTGAGGTCTTATATTGATAATTGTGGGCCCGCCCAGTGTATCGAGCGGCGTCGGCATCTGGAATGCCGTAAGCCTTAATATAGAAAGCTTCCGTTTGCTGTACGAGGGCCCCATACTTCCGACCTAACGCCAACGAGCTCTGAGGACAGACCTGGAACGCGGGGCAAACAGCGATGTGGTCTGGCACAGACTCGTCG